CACCGAGCACGCCAAGAGGAAGACCGTGACCGCCATGGACGTGGTGTACGCTCTGAAGAGACAGGGCCGCACCCTGTACGGCTTCGGCGGTTAATCTCATTCACACCAACTGAAACAACTAAACGGCTCTTTTAAGAGCCACACACCTCCCTTTAAGAGCTTTGGTTTTAAGTGTTCATTATAATGGGTTTATGTTCTTTTGGTCTGGACATATACGCTGACATATATTTTATGTGGTGGAAGGCTTTATGTTATGATAATGCATCACTCTTTAAATAAGAGCTTCTTTTAATTGGTGTTCAGAGCTATAATATGAAATCGTAGGTAGGTGAATAAGTTAACTGCACTTCTCTTTAGTAGTATCCGATTCTGAAGGTTATTCCTAATATGGTCGTGAGGCAGGGTTCATCCTGGACACGTTTCCCATTTCAGGGGTAACATGGTCTCAATTTTACTTTCCACAACACTGGAGTGGAACAAATTTGGCGAAGCGAAGTAGTAATAGTGATGTGTTCACATTAACAGGCATTATGATTGAATACACAATAAGTAAATATTACATAGAGCAATCACCGTAATAACTATTGTCAAATACTGGATTTAAATCAAATCACTTTTATTGTCACATCACATGTGCAGGTACACTGGTACAGTACATGCGAGTGAAATTCTTGTGTGCGAGCTTCACAGGGAGCAGAGTTGTGCAAAAATACAATAACATAAAACAAGCAAAATATAAGAATGGCTAAATCTGAGACTAATAAATATATGTACAATATATAATAGTATATGCATTACTGAGTAGTATATGCATTTGTTGAATTATGTAATGCATGTTTATTTAGGTAAAAACCTGTTTATATGCTAGGACTACAAAGTCCTTCAATAGTAAAAACGATGCATGTGATTTAAAAAATGTCTAGTTCGGTTGCTACAATAAGAAATATTACATAATGTTTTCAGTTTGATATCAAGAAGAACATAAATACATTTCTGAGAATAAACATCTATGATATGAGGCATCACTAACTGTAGAAGCACAGGTTCTTTAAATTCTTATTTCTTCCAAATATCTCACAAGTTTCACTTTAACGTGCACGTTTCAATCTACTTTCTTTAACTAGTGCCACAGTCCCGACGTGTCGCGTTGTGAATGTTAAATATAGTCCAGTGAATGAAAGCTGAAGGTCCTATTTTTTTTCCATTGTGAGACTGCGCAGTAGCAATTTACCCACCAAAGAAAGGGAGCAACAGCTCGACCAATGACAGGCGGGGATCTGCACAGCCTTATTTGCATACAGCGGAAATAAAAGAGAGCCGCTCTGTGCTGACGGGCACATTTTCTGCTGTGAAGAAGCAAAGGAGGAAAATGCCTGAACCCGCCAAGTCCGCGCCCAAGAAGGGCTCTAAGAAAGCCGTGACTAAAACCGCCGGCAAGGGCGGCAAAAAGAAGAGAAAGACCAGGAAGGAGAGCTACGCCATCTACGTTTACAAGGTGCTGAAGCAGGTGCACCCCGACACCGGCATCTCCTCCAAGGCCATGAGCATCATGAACTCGTTCGTTAACGACATCTTCGAGCGCATCGCCTCTGAGGCCTCCCGCCTGGCTCACTACAACAAGCGCTCCACCATCACCTCCAGGGAGATCCAGACCGCCGTGCGCCTCCTGCTGCCCGGTGAGCTGGCCAAGCACGCCGTGTCCGAGGGCACCAAGGCTGTGACCAAGTACACCAGCTCCAAGTAAACTGCAGCTCTGCTGCACCCACCCAACGGCTCTTTTCAGAGCCACCCACTTCTTCTGAAGAGCACATGTCCTGAGATTTTCCACTGCAGTCGTGTTTGGTGATGATAGTAACAAGTCCTACACACTGTCTGCCTCATAATTATTAAATGGTACACTGATACAGTCTTAAATCTACAATGACATTACAGATGTGTATCTGCAGGGTTTGATGATGCTAGCTCACCACAGCAGTCAACACTGGTTTTCTTTAGACTGTACCCCAAGGCTCTGGGGGCTCTCCACTGGAGTGAATGTTAAATTTCACACCGGCTGCTTTCATTTGCATGTTTTCATATGACACTGTTGGATACTACTGTATTCTATGTGGAATTTTTAGAGCATACTCCATAATTCAAAGACAAAGCCATCATGAAAAAAACCTTTTTTTCTATGACAGTTTCTGTTAATTTTGTTGTCAGTATTCAATGTCATAATATTCCTCTTGTTCTCCCGATATCCAGGAGAACAAAGGTTTTAAGAAGTTGCCTTTTTGGGGTACTTTAAAAATAGGTGCAAGTTTGAGTTTAGCGTATGGTGCCAATCATATATTTATTCTCTGTAATAGTCTGGATATTCATATTTCAGCCATTTGTATATATTAGAGATATTTCACATGTTATAACTTTTTGAAAATATTATTTTATTTAATTCAGTCTGCTATGGTTCTTATTGACTTGGAGGAACTGTAACCACATAATTTCCTTTGGGATTAATAACATTCTGATTAGGAATTTCTGAAAAAAATATTACATTAAAACACTGTTTTAACAAATTACTTTTTAAAAGACAAGCTTTTTGATAAAACTGCATTCTGCCCAATAATCACCTAAAGCTGGATTCATGGACGAAGAGCCGTACAGGAGATAAGGAAGGTCAAAGGACATGTCTGCTTTTGAGCATACGTAGGGCCAAAATGGCAGTATTCACTATGCCCATTATGAGTAAAAAGTAATGTGTAAACTTGACCTGGGAAAGGAATAATCTGCTCATCTACACAGGTCTCAGCAGACTGAAGCTTTCTAGCACGCTGACAAGAGATGAGCTCATTTGTTAACATGATGAATCTTGAAGAATCTGTCATGAGTTATTTCATTGGCTATAATGAGATCTTGTTTCATGTGAAAAATAACCCAGATTTAAAAGGGTTGAAATTGGATTGAGAAAGAGCAAAGTAATGTGGTTTAGTGCACTTCTAGCAAATATACACCAGTCTGCTGAGATAATGGAAAGCCTGTGTAGATTGAGCAGATGTATTTCAGCTGTGCAAGAGAAACCAAATCCCCCAGTGTAAAAGATCGAGCTTTCACATTACTTCTAATCCATAGTGGATTGTGGGTGTTGTTACTTCGTCCCTATTCCGGCTCCTTGAAAGCTGGTTTGCTGATTTACTCGTCCTCAAACATGTCACCTTCCTGCTGCAATGTCTGGATCTGCTCCACCTCATCTCCCAAAAGCTCAAAGCCTAACCCTCCTTCCACAAACTTGAATCAAATCCTTTCTAGCTCTTTCAGCCCTCAGCTTTTTGAAGTATTAAAAATGGGAGGTTTTAAGTCCTGCTGTCCACCACAAAGGACAATGAATAAGTTTTATTGTGAAAGGGTTAAACTTATTGTACATTTATGACATCTTAATAAACCAAATTGAAGATTGTAATGTGGAAGAAACTATTTCATCTTTAAGAGAAACAGAATCTCTGAAAACAGTTATCACGTAACCTCCCTGATTGCCATAGAACGTGGAAGCTGCAGTGCCTGCCATTTTGACAAAAAGTTATTGTTCTCAGTTTCTGTTATTTTAAATGAATGACATTGCAAGAATGTGTACTGCAATTTTTTTCAGTGTATCTGTATATATTTATATCTACTTATATTTTGGGTTTTAAAGCAATAAAGACAGCAGGAAAATTGTACAAGTTTTAAAGATGCATTTTCATTTGCAGTAAGTGCTTCAAGAACAAAATAAAATGAAAAATGCTAGTTGTTTGAAAACAAAAACAGACTTTGCTCAGACATCATGAGGAGGCTTTGGTGTGAGTCTTTATGATAGATGTGTAGATAGTTTACTGGTAGTATTCTCACATCTCCACATTTGATTTAGGCCAGGTGTTTAGGCTGGATATCATCTTTGATGGAACCCTGTCAGGGATTTGTGTCTCTTCCAACCTCGAATCATGTGTTAGACTAATGAGTTAATCACTATATTATATCTTATTAAAAACAAATAAAGCTGAAATCGGTTCAGGTCCACACTGGGGCATGAAAGTGGGCGGGGCACATGAAATTTGATTCACCAAAAAAAGAAAAACAAAACACGGAAACAGTCTTCTATTACGTCCGCTACTCAGCGATAAGACTAGAGCGCTCGCGTGGGACGTTATTCAACTTTGTTCGTTCAAGGAAGAAATTATAACCATGAGTGGAAGGGGCAAGGGAGGCAAAGGACTCGGAAAAGGAGGCGCCAAGCGTCACCGTAAAGTTCTCCGCGATAACATCCAGGGAATCACCAAACCCGCCATCCGCCGTCT